TCTGGGAGTTGAAGTCCAGACATCTTCAAGTTGCCAAGGTTGAGAAACACTGGCCTAGAGGATCGTGACAGGAATCAGAAGAGCCCGCTTGCTCCATTTCCAAGGTTCCAAGAAGCAGCAGAGCCAACAGCTGGCCAAAAGAAAATCTGTTTCTCGAAAGGGTTTCCCAGTCAAAGCGTTGTATGAAGGCCAAACGCCTTTTCAAAGGCCAAACCGTCAGATGGGAACCTGGGGGTCACACACAGACGTCCTCTGCTGACTGGGGTTCTCTCTCTGACCCTTAGCACTACACAAAGCCAAGGGGCCAGGAGAAACATCACACGGAAAGCCAACAGTAACACAAGTTGCCTTCTGAATTTGGAAGATGACATCCTTTCAAGAAGGTCACTAATCAAGGCCTCACCCGGGCCCTGATTTGAGACTGAACACGTTCAGCAAAACAGGCCTCCCCACCACAGTTGCTCCTGGAGTGGGGGGGGGGGGGTCTCACCTCTTGGCTCCCCCGGCATCAGGAGACACAATTGTGCAGTTCTTCCACTCAACGATGTTCTCCTTGATCCACTTTAAGACGGCCGGCTCAGCGTACAGGTTGTCCACAGGGATGTCGAAGAAGCCCTTGGGGAAAGGAAGCAGCTGCTTAGCCCCCTTGGGGCTGGTTTCCCAGGAGGCAGGAGAGGAGCGGCCCCTTCTCCATCCTTTAAGCCCCCCCACCTGTCAGGGCAGCCCAAGAGCCCCCCCCACCCCAGGGAGGCCCCCTCTGCAGCAGTCAGCCCCCTCCCCATCCCCACGGCCCCAAACCTGGATCTGGGAGGCGTGCAGGTCCATGGTGATGATGTGGTCGGCGCCGGCCACGGAGAGCATGTTGGCCACCAGCTTGGCGGAGATGGGGGCGCGGCTCTGCAAGAGAGGCAGCGGCGGGTCAGGGCGGGCCGGGCGGGGGCCGGCGGGAGGAGGGCGCGGCGGGGCGCGGGGCACCTTGTCCTTCTTGTCCTGGCGCGCGTAGGGGAAGCAGGGGATGACGGCCGTGACGCGGCTGGCCGAGGCGATCTTGCAGGCGTTGATCATGATGAGCAGCTCCATCAGGTTGTCGTTGATCTCCCCGCAGCCGCTCTGCACGATGTAGACATCCTCCCCGCGGACGCTCTCGCCGATCTCCACGCTGCGGGGGGCGTGGCGTGAGGGCGTGGCGTCGGGCTCCGCCCCCCATCCCCTCCCTTCCCCCGCCCTCTTCCCCAGCGCATGCGCCGCTCCTCACGCGCACCAGGTCTCCTGGTTGGAGAACTTCTTGGTGACGACCTTGCCCAGCTCGAGGCCCAGCCGGTCGGCGATCTTCTGAGAGAGGTCCTGGTGCGAGCTGCCGCTGAAGATCTTGATGTTCGGCATCCTGGCCAGCAGCGCCGGCGGGCAGGGCGAGGCGGCGGCGGCGGCGGCGGAGGACGAGGCGCGCTCCGCGGGCCCGCTGCCTCCCTGCGGCAGCAGCTCCGCCGCCTCCCTGCGGCTCTCCCGATCACCGTTGTTGGGATCCAGCAGCAGCAGCCGCACGCAGCGCCGCACGGCCTCCGCCTTCCGGCCGCCGGCTCCGCTGAGAGGGATGGTGCGACGCACGGGCGCCCTCCCCCCCCCCCGAACGCGCAGGCGCCGACGGAAGGGCCGCGCGCGCTAGCCCGCCATCTTGGTGCCACGCCCCCTTTGTCACCTCACCGCTCCTCGCCTGGCAACGCGCACGCGCGGGGAGGGGAGGAGGCGGGGCTGCGGAAAGGAAAGCTCCCGGGCGGCAGAAGCGGAAGGAATTCGTTTACTCTTCCGGGTTTGCGACAGAGAACCGGCTTGGTCCGTACACGCGAGGGGGGGCGGCGGCGGGAGGAGGAGGCCGGGCTGCCAGGGGAGCAGGGGCCGCGCCAGGCACTGGGCTCGGCTACCTTTAGAAGCCGCGGGCGGGTCCCGCTCGGCCAAGCACCGGGAACTCCCCGGTCTCCGAATCCCGTCCCGGCTGGGGGACATCGCGCGGCGGCGACAGTAGCGACAGTTCCCGCCGCGAAGATGTGGACGTTCCTGGCCGTGGCGGCTGGAGGGAGGTCCCTCTTGGGGGGGGCGGGGACAGGAGGGGCTCCGGGCTGGGCTTCCCCGGACGCAGCCGGGGCGTTTGAGCCGGTTTGACCCCGGGTGATCCGGGAGAGGAGGTGGGGCTCGCGGGGCAAATGAGGAGTTGCAGGCAGGAGACGTCCGGGCGTTCCCTGCTCGCTCTCCCAGCCCTGCGGGCATTCAGGCACTTGGTCTAGGCTGGGCCGGCGGCAGTCTCCGGCCACAGACACCCATTTACTTGTTCATCAGCGCCTTCCAGGACCGTGTGAGAGAGTTCACCATGGAGGCCGCAGATTGGTGGCTCGGCTGCTCGGCTTCCTGGTCCCCTCGGTGGCCGGTTCGGGCGGTGGACTCCTCGGCAGCTCTCAGCAAGAGTGTGTAGTTCCTCACAATCTCTTCCACTTGGGCCAAGAGCGCCTGACGCTGCGACCCCGAGCGCACCACCTTCACCAGCCGCACAAAGGTCTCCATCAAGCTTCCCAGGACCTGGAAGCTGCCACTCACTGCCGACAGCATGTGGGTTGGGCTCTTGTTGACCGCGGCAACTCGGCGGCAGGAGGCCCGGAAGTCCTTGAACTTAAGGGCCAACTCTTGCTTGTACTCGGTCAACTGAGGGAGATACGACTTGCCTTCCTGGGCCTGGGGGCTCATGATGCACTGCCGAAGGATGGTCAAGAGTTCACTGGTGTCCAGCTGCACAGCCAGGAATCCGTTGGGCCAGGTGTAGGTACGGCCCTTCAGGGCGTGGATCTTGGCCAGGCTGCCCTCAAAGGAGGAGGTCCGCAGGTCTATCTCCTGGGTCTGGTTGTCTGGAGTGCTGCAGACGCTGGCATCCAGAACCTGGAGAGTTCTGCTGACCACTGGGATGGCCTGGTGGCTGATCTTCCCTTCTGGGAGGATTGGCATGGGAATGGCGTAAGAAAGCTCATCCTTTTCACTCCCGTCATCGGTCATGTCGCACTTCCTGTAGTAGAAGCAGTACCGGAAGGAGCAGCACCTCTCCCCGTCTCCATCCTCCTCTGGCAGTTTGTGGGGGCTCGGATAGATGTCCTCCTGAAAAGGAAGCACAGCACCACCTTTCTGGCTCTTCTCAGCCACTTGAACATAAGAGGGTTCTGCCACCGTGAGGTGGGGGTCCTGCATTTTGCCTTTCGGGGCAGGGTCTTGGGCGGTGGCCTCCCACTGCTTGTGCAGGTAATGGCTCAGGTAGCCTGGAGAACCTGGAGACGTTTGTTCCATCTTTTCAACTTCGCTGACGCTGTAGCGCCGCATCAACTTCTTGTAGTGGGGTGCTCCTACGCACTCCCCCGGAGAGGCACACGTGGTCAGGCACGACAGGCTGTTTTCAGGGTCAGACCGGCAATCCCGCGATTCCAGGCTGGTGGACCTGACCCGGCTGCCCTTTGGAAGGGCTCCAGCAGAGGACTTTCCTGGCCCTTCTGCTTGCTGCGGCTCTCTGCCCCTGCTCGGCCTCTCCAGGCCTGATGCTGCGGACTGGCTGGGCAGGGGCCTGGTGCCACGGCTGAGCCGCTTGCAGTCACAACTCCGCCTCTGTTCCCTGGACATCCCTGGCACAGTCTGTACAGGGCTGGTTCGGACCTGGCAGGCGCAGCGCCCCGTGGCCAAGGGGTCCAGGCGGTCTGGAGAGGCGGGCTCCCTCCTGGTCTTTGGCTTCAGCAGCTCTTCTAGGAATTCAAGCTCGTACTGCCTCACTTTCTGCAGCTGAGCTTGCCGCTCGTCGGTCTCTCTCTTGAGTCGTGTTGGGAAAGTGGCAGAAATGAGGTTCTTGAACCGGAATGATGCTTTGGGTACTTTCGGCTTAGCCGGGAGATCCGAGTCTGGTGCTGCAATGGCCAGCGCCTTTTCAGACCTTTTTAAAAGCAGGGAAGTGGAGGGCAGGCTTCCGGTCTGAGCACCTGCGGGGAACTTCCCCTTCAGAGTCTCCCCTCCGGGACTACTGAAGGCCTGTGGGCTCTTGCAGGGCGGAGGCCTCGGGGCGCTGCGGCTGCTGGCACCCGCTTCATGCTGTCCCTTTTCCTCCTGGCTGAGGAGCGTCTCCCTCTGGCCAGGTGGTCTGCCACCCTCTTCCTGACACAGGAGTTCCTCTGCCCCCTCTGGCCTTCCCTTTGTCTGGGCCGCCTGCTTCTCCTCTTCTGCTGCTGTTGCTCGCAGGGGAGGGGAGGCCACCTCCGTGGGGCTGCCTGGGCGTCCTGGGTTCTGCTGGAAGACTTCGCCGCTTGGCTGCTTTTGAGAGCAGGGAAGGCTGGGGGAGAGCCGGCCCGCAGAGCAGGGCTGGGGACCAGACAGCTGCCTGCGGTCAGGACCCCAGGGGGGAGCGCTGCCTTCAGTTGGCGAGAATGCTGCAGAAAGGGAAGCTTTGGGGCCAACTGGCTGCAGACTTGAGGCGACAAGGATGGGGGCTGCTCTCTGGTCCTGCCGCCCACTCTCTGGGTGGCTGTTTCCCAGGACCGGGACAGCCGTGGTGTGTGGGGCCTCAGCTGCCCCGCAGGGGAAGGAACCTTTGGGCTCGGGCCCTTCCCCTTTGGCATTGGGCTCATTGAACTGCTGAGAAGGCGAGGGCTGGGCACAGCCTTTCTCCGTATCTCGCGTGTTTGTAGCGCAGGTGGCATCGGAGATCTGGTCCGGCTCTCGATACCGAGAAGTCTGGATGCGTAAAGGAAGGTCCTTCCGGGCCAAGAGGCCTTCCTTGCTGAGCTGCTGAGTCAGGAAGAAGGCGGCGTTCTGACGTTGCTGCACAGCGGCGAGAATCTCGGGGACGTGGGGGATCTCGGAGGGGTTGGTTTCGTGGCCGGAGTCCATCGATGACTCGGGGGTGATGGCGGCCAGAAGGATGAGTCCTGCAGGAGAAAAAGGCACACTCTTTAGTTGGGTGGGGAAAGCCTGGCTCAAGCCCACCCTCAGCCCCTCGGGGGGGGGGGATTCGGCTGCTTGGCCTAGCCAACCAGAAAGGGCTGAAGGGGAGGGTACCGCTAATTGAAATGGAAGGAATACGGCATTGCGTGTCTTGTGTACCACTGCTTCAAAGGCAAAGCTGCTCCTGTGCTGAGGGAGAAATGGGGAGGGGGTGGGGTTTCAAACAAGTGGTAGACGGGAGGAGCCACCTATGCTGGCTATTGCTGGGCCTCTTGTCTTTTTGGAGGCCCAAGTTCTGGCACTGGCTCAGAAGGAGGTTTATAAGGTTGTCTGGGCTGCCAACCCAGCTGCCCCTGAATGATGCCCCGGAGCTGGCCTTAATGTCCCTTAAGAGCCCTTTTCTGAGCCAATTCTGGCTTCTTCCCTGAGGACGGACTGCTGCTGCAGCTCCCTCTTTCTGAAATGGGGTTGGAGAGTCAGTCTTTCCAAGGCTCAGCCGATGGCGGCCCTCAGAGCTAAGGCTCCAGCCACTAACTGCTCCTCTGACCTGGGAACGAGGGTGCTTCCACCACCTCCCCTTTCCATATGCTCCTATGCCGCTGCTTTGAACTAAACCTGCAGGGGTATTTTTTCGGGGGGCTGTATGTGCTGTTTTGCTTGGTAAGTTCTGATGGGAACCACCTTAAAAGGAGGAGGGGTACCTGCCGTCTGCTGCGGCTGAGGGTGTGCGCCATCTTCTGAGGCCGCCAACGCTTCCAGGGCCTGCAGTGTGGAGACCAGAGCATCGTCCAGGTCCTGGGCGTGATCTCGGACAGTCCGTGTCTGCATGCTATCTATCAGCGTCACGGGAATCTCCTCGTACAGGAGGCCACAGAACTGGCGTCCTGGCTCTTGCCCTTTGGCCATGGCAGCAGCTGCTGCCGCCCGACGTTTCGAGTCGTCCTCGTCAGAGCTGTTGTCTTGGAAGCCGGGAGGCGGTGCGGTGATGGGGAGAAGGGAGGTGGTTTCATCCTCCTCCTCATCACTCCCTGGAGGGGGGAGGGAGGTCAGGTCCACCACGTTGTCCTGGGTGGAGCCGGGATTGCTGCCTCGGTGAGGGGCCGGCTGCTTGCGCTTGACTTTGGCCTTGCAGGAGTCACAGTACAGCTGCTGGGGCTGGCTGCCCTGCTGGCTGTCCAGGGTGTACGCCCTGGCTCTGTTGGCCCAGCGCTCCTGGTCTGGGCCGTGGGGCTCGCCGTCCTCTCGCCCGGAGCTCTCTGAGGTGGGGTCTGATTTGGTCCGGGGCCGGGACTCCTCGAAGAGGATCAGGTTTTCATTGACGTCAGTCCCGCTCTTGCGCTCCTTGTGCTCCCGCAGGTGCAGGTAGCAAAAGCTGAGGAGCTCCGAGCCCAGGGGGTCTGGAGGGCTGCCCCCTCTGGGGCTGGGGACAGGGCCTCCCAGGAGCCTGCTCTCCTTCTTAGCCAGGTGCCCTGCTGGTGCCAGAGGCTGACGGACGAGGAACGGGCTGCTGTCTGGAGCAAAAGATACATTGGCCGTTAAAACATGCACCCCCCTGCCGTGGCTCCCAAGGAGGCGACTGGTGCCTGCAAGGATCAGCAAGGGACCCCCCGTGAGCAGAAGAAGCCGAAGGAGATGCCCTCGCCACACCTCTCCCCTCTGCTCCTTGCCCCCCTCCCCACTTTCTGCACTGGATTGCGGAACGGCCAGTTTTGGAGCTCTAAGGAAGATGAAGCGCATGGAAAGAAGGGGGCAGGGTCAATGCCTGGCCACTTTTCTCCCAAACTGACGGGAGCCGGAGGGGTTTTTTCTCCCCCCCCTCCCTGCATTGCCCAAACTCTCTTGCCTGGTCACCAAGAGGCACGGAACAAGACCGCTCCCTTGAGCAATAGCTGAGCTCCAGGCACGGAGCCTTTGTGGGGGTGCTTCTTGTGGGGGAGACCGCTTCCCTTCAAGGGACCCGGCCGAAGACCCTTCTGGACTCCCTCGGAAGAGCCGCCAGTGGAAGTGCAGAGGGACTTCTGGGGAACGCTCCCAGCTCCCTCGTGAGGCCCGATTCCTGGCTCCTCTCTTGCCCTCGGACTCCTCCCAATGAGACTGCACATCCCCCCCCCCTCATATCCTCTGAGTCCCTGACAACAACTGCAGGAGGGGGGGGGTAGAGCGAGCAAAGGTGTGTGCGCGTGGGGAGGGGAGGTAGTGTTGCCACCTGCAGCTCTGGAGCACAAAAGCTCCGTGCCCAACACACGGGTGTCTCCCCACCAGCCTGGGGAGGGAATCCCCATGCTTGAGAGGTTCCAACGGGGCGGCTACAGAGCCACCTTGGGGGGAGGGAAAGGCCCATCGTTGGAACCCCCATGTCGAGGGGTAACATGGGAACCTGGCCGAGGGGCACAAATCTCCGAGGATGAAACGTACCTGCCTTGGTCAGTGGAAGCGGTGGTGGGTGACTGGGGTGTCGGGAGAGGATTGTCCGCTTGGAGTCCACCAGCAGGCGGCAGTAGCCAGCGATGAGGCAGGTGAAGTTGGTGGCCTCCGGCCATTCCATCAGCAGCACCAGAGGCTGGGAGGGGAAGGGAAGCCACAGGGTCCCTAAGCCTGTCTGGTCACGGGGCGACCTCCTCCGGAGGGGAAGGGAAGCTGCTGGGCCATGAAAGGCCCCACCGCTGCCCTACCTTTGGCTCACCTGCAGAGTGGCAGCCAGGGGGCATCAGCTTGACCTACCTTGGCATCCAGGATGCTGGTTTCCACCCGGGCCACCCCCTGGTTCTCCCGGAAGAGCTGGATCTTGCTGACTTTGCTGAACTCGGACAGCACGGTGGTGAGGTTTGTCTTCAGGTCAATGACGTGGCTGATGCCATGGCGGGGCCCCACCAGGAGGGTGGTGGCTGGCTCTTTCTCGTCCTGGGCGGGAGGAGACGCCAGTCAAAGAGACCAGGAGGGCAGGGACAGGCCCTGGGGGTGGTGGTTGCTGGGGGCCCATCGCTGGGCTCTCCCCTCCCTCCCACTCCAGCACTACTGTACCAGTCCCACAGTGCTGAACAGGACACCGGCAAAGGTTGGCAGCTCGTTCAGGATGCGCAGGTAGTGGAGCTTCGCTTGGGTGGTGGTGATCTGGGGAAGAGACATTGGGTTAGGGTAGCAATAGCAATAGTTAGACTTATATACCGCTTCATAAGGCTTTCAGCCCTCTCTAAACGGTTTACAGAGTCAGCATCTTGCCCCCAACAACAATCCGGGTCCTCATTTTACCCACCTCGGAAGGATGGAAGGCTGAGTCAACCTTGAGCCTGGTGGGATTTGAACAGCTGAACTGCAGTCAGCTGAAGTAGCCTGCAGTGCTGCATTTAACCACTGCGCCACCTTGGCTCTTGAGGGTCCCCGTTAAGTGTGCCGAGGGGCCAAGATCCCTTCGAGCATCAGTCTGATGCAGGGGGCAAGGATGGCTTTGCTGGACGTCGAAGCCGTTCAGCTCTAGCAAACTTCCTTGGCTTGACTACTGCTGTGGGTTCTCCCTGGAGCGTACTATGGTAGCCAAGCCACGAACGGATGCAAGCTAGTCTTGCAGTGAGAGGCCTGCGCTGGCCACACAACCACTGAGGTCTTGTCTAGATGCCCTCTAGCCCTCCCATCAGCCGTTTAAAAAGATGCCAACTTGGCCAGGGAGGAGACTTGGGGGGGGGGGGGGGGGGGGAG